TGTTGTTGGTAGGTTTCGAAGCCCCATGCATTAGAAGCGGGCGTCTTAAACCTCCGGGCCACCACGACTCCTTTGTAGTATTAGTAGGTTTTTCGCGAGCAAGCAGAAACTTAAACTATTTCCTAGAATACAGAAACAGTATATAAACTTCCAAATAGAACATATTCATCAAATACATCACGTACACAGTAAACTAAGCAGAACCTTTCAGATTCAGATTTTGCGAGTGCCTATAAAATATTTATTATTAACAGTTTGTCGTAGGCCTTTTGTAGGTATGTCCAACGTGAAAATTGTTCGGCATACAAAATTCATTTTAATGGCCTTGCTATCTTTTATATTATTTTTTGTTTACTCACCTACCTCCGTTCCGAAGCTATGGAATTCAGGTAAAGAAAATTTGTGTCGAAAATCTCATTTTGATTTATTTTAGGCATTATTTTTAAAAGGTTTAGGTTGAGTTATAAATAATTTGGCTTATTTTAAGAACTGTAGGCGTTTTGTTGCCCTATTCTTAAATATGGGTCAGTACTCAGTTTTAAACAAAGACATCATGAGAAGACGTCAAGACATCTTACGATATGAATAAGTTGTCTATTTTTTATAATAACTATCGTGAGACATATTAAATTAACTAAAATCGCACCACACAGAGCGCCGCGACCGCGCACGCTGCTCAAAAGGAAGAATCCCTCAGTGGTTCGAAACTAGTAGAGCTTTTTCTCAGTATATTCACGTGAGTAACCCGCGATTTTAGTTAAGTTGTCTATTAATAAGGATTTGTATTAACAAGAACTTAGGGCTGCCACGTTGGTCAAGTAGTCGCATGTGCCACTGCCGGGCAAGGGGCCTCGTGTTTAATTCCCGGGTCGCGCAAAGCTGAGGCTTTTTTTTAATCCCTGTTACTACAGGCACGGAGTCTGGAATTACGCCCGGTACATGACAATATGCTCACTCCCTATTACATGGAACTCATAGATAAATACTTAAAACTGGGTGTTACATTGTACAGCGCCGTTAAAAGCCGTGCACCTTTGCCTACCCTTTTAGGGATAAAGGGCGTGATGTATGATGTATTAACCAGATAAAGATAAAAATAAAAACCTCGACGGAAAGCGCATTTTAATGTCTAAAATAACATAATTTTCGACATAACGAACTTGCCATTAGCATGTTTGATGAATATATTCCAATGCTACCATAGAAATGCCCCATAATAAAACTGTACTAGGTTTTATTAACAATGCTCCCTTTGACAAAATACACTGAAGTAAAACCACAGCGAATTTCCCAAAGCTCAAAGAGCTGTCTGCTCATGTCAGCTCCGGTCATCTCTCGTGTATACCAAAGGGAGAAAACCGACAACATACATATCTATATTTGGGAACTTATATGTACTTTCATTGATAAATTACACTTATTTACTGTGATAGCAAAAGAAACCATAATAGCCCAAATATAGAGACTCCGATGATAAAACTGATGCTTGTGCACCTGGCCATCAAGAAGCTGCAACGGAATTTCGACTATATTTGATATGACCAAGTGGAAAATCAATTAAAAAAAAGTACTTACATTGATACATACGAACGCATATAAACCGGGGTTTAAGATGACTGTTAGCACACAATACCCAATTCTTTATGGCTAGCTAGCTTCTGCCAGCGGTTTCACCCGCGTTCTCGTGAGATGAAAAACAGGCTACCTATATATTATTCCAGACCATAATTCACCCTTGTTTAAAATTTCATACCGATGCCTTCAGCCATTTTGACATGAAATAGTAACAAATAAACATACTAATTGCGCATTTATAAAATTAGTAGGATACTTGTCATTAAAATCCAAAAATAGACTCCTCCACGAATCCGCAGCAGTAAGGGAAACAGAGAAAGGGTAATAGTTATATCTCGAGAGCTAATTATACTATTAGGCCATTGGAGATACCTTATGAAACAATATTTAATAGTAGAAGAACGAAACCCATAGGAAAGGGAAGAGAAGGTGTCCAAAATTATTTCGTTTGCAATAGATTTTTTATGGAATAGAAGGTAAAGGAGACAAATGACCTGATGGTAAGCTATCAGCGCCGCCAATGGACAAGCGCAACACTAGAGGAGTCACAGGTGCGCTGCCAGCCTTTTAAGAAGGAATACGCTCTTTTCTTGAAGGTTTAAAGATTTCATTCTAATACTATTTTACAAAGATTTTGACCGTTAATGACGATATCTTACTTGGCATAATATCATTGTTTTAATTGAATAATATGTAGCTCTCAAACATCCAGCATAAAGTTCACAAACACTTAAATTATTAACTGCCAAGATCTTGTTTGTCTTATTAGAGAAATTGGGTCATGTAAATGTACAATTATTTGTCTAAGCCGCCTTGTGCTCCTACTGGCTCGTCGGTAGTTAATCTGTAGTCTATGGGGAGCGCCATATTGTAGGAATTCAATTATATTATAACAATCGTTGTTGTGCCTCAAGAGAATAGCTAGAACTATAATTATATGGTGAACCAAGTGTAAATATCGTTGGTCCCGAGGTCTAAGACGCCCAGCTTCTCAAGTATGAGAATGCGGGTACGAAACCTACCAATGGCAAGTACCAAGTTTTTGCTCTTTCTAAGATTAATAGATAAATGTTGAAGGAAAACGTCGACGAAGGTGGTGGATGGTGTAGGAAACACGATGTTTCCTTACGATGATTTCTTATATTAGGTTTAAATCGATCGCCAACCCGCGTTGAGCAAGCGTGGTGATTAATGCTCAAAACCTTCTCCATGGGAGAAGAGGCCTTTGGCCAACAGTCGCCACTATTTTTTTATGGAATAGGAGGCAAACGAGCAGACGGCTCACCTGATGGTAAGCGATCAGCGCCGCCCATGTACACCCGCAACACCAGAGGAGTCACAGGTGCGTTGCCGGCCTTATAAGCTGTTGAGGAAAAAAAGATACATTATTCGAATATTTTGGATTATTGAAATATTTTTAACAATGATGAGTGAAAATATCAACAAAATACTTCACGCGGGTAACTAGACAATCTGTGAAAAACCTGTTTACATACGATAATGAAAATGTTTATCTCACTTTTCACAATCCTTCATCGAATATTTATGAAGCTTTCGTTGATAAGTCAGATTAGACACCCACGCGAGCATTGCTGTTGTAATGTGTGAAATAACGTACATAAATATTTGTGAAAATGTGGTACAAATTCATCTTCCTTCCTATCATTCATTTGCAACTTCCATGGGGTTCCACCTGCTCTGCTCAGCTCCTACTAATCATAGCATGGTGTTTTATAGCCTATAATAGCCTTCCTTGATAAATGGACTACACAACACAAAATTTTTTTTTTCAAATCAAGAGGCTTACAATTATTTGTCGAACTTCTTCGAACGACTTCAATTCCGATCGATCGACATTGGTATTGTGAAATTTCGTACTCTTGAGTTGAAACACTAGCGCCCATTGCATCCACATTGCATGGATATTTAATGAACTAAAGGGTATTGAGTCTGGCTTTATATTCCGTTCTCTGAATGCTTACGATAGGTGTTGTATAGTTTTGACATTGAATAATTATTGAGATTTTATTGGATTAAAATCGCATTGACATTCAGTTTGGTTTCAAGAGTAAGCACACTGATCAGTTGTTTCGGAGATTAGAGCGTTCAAACAAACTCTTCACCTTTATATTACACAAAATATAAGAAGTATACATACAGGGTGATTTGTAATTCGACAACAATCTCGTATGAAGAACAGATCAATTTAAAACAGATCAAATTATATCAGGTTATAGACTATCCCTTTGTTCGACAAAAATACTATAACCCCATACAAGATTCTGGTCTAATTACAAATCTCACTTTTGACTTTAGTCATTACACAAAAATATCTAATGTATTTTTTTTGGATTCGCACGCAAATACAGTATGCAGTGGTTAGTTAACTATACCTATACCCACGTGCATGCTTTTGTTATTATGCGTGTTTTGTTACTGAAATCTGATAACCTTTTGATAACAAAGGACATTGTGTTTATGCGCTTCCAGATATGATAGATAGATCTCATACCTATAAACCTATAATGATATACCTAAAAATTATATAGAAGTCATAGGTGAATATTGATGTTTTTTTTTTATATTTGATGGGTCGACTTTTGACCATTATCTCGTTTGGTGGTGCAATGATGTGGTCTAAGATGGAGCTCGTCGTCCCATAAGCAACCTATTCACTCGGGCCGTGGAGGCACCTATGTTACACTGTACTCTCACGATCGGACCTGTTAAAATAATGTAGGCGAAATTGTGAAACCGATGAAAAGAATAACATTTTGCAACGCATAGTTTATAGAATTTCAGGAGATAGTGTGATCAAAGAATAAGATTTGACGGGCCAGGCGGTGGATAGAAGTTAGTTAAGGGTGGGAGAGCAATGCTTCAGCACGAATGGTCCATCTCGACCGGAGTAATACCACGGCCTCACAGAAAACCGACGTGAAATAACGCTGGCGTTGTGTTTCGTCGTGTGAATGAGCTAACCAGAGGCCCAATAGGGTAGTTTTCTAAATTTTATTTGAATGTCCGTTTGGTACATTATTTTAAAACTTTAGGCACGTACTTTTTCTTTTCTCACGAAATGAAATACTTTCGACGATATATTAATATGAAACATCGTGTGACGTCACAGCGTGCCACATTTTGTAGCACGTTATGACATAACAACCTCCCACTCCTAAACTTAGCGCTATTTTATCTAAGTATTGCAACTTAATACGAGAAAATAAAAATCGTGTCTTATATCTTATATTATATTTTTTCATTATCTAACTGGCGGACTAATTAGATTTTTAATTTTGGTACCCTGGAAACTACCCAATTACTCCCCCCCCAATCTGCCCAATCCCTGAATCCCCAACAGTCCTCAATTTCCTAATCCCCGAAAGGCCGGTAATGCAATTTATATTGCTTTTGCTTGTCCACAGTGCTCCACGCAAAAGCGGCTATGTGGTCGCGAAAGCAGTCAGTTTGCAGTGCAGTGAGTGGTGTGTCGAGAGGAGATGAAGTGGACTTGCCCGGGAATGGAGTGCAACTCTACCCATTTGCTATAGCTCTGCGAGTCAGAGTGCTACAGGTAAGGTTTAGGAATTTAGACCTTATATTAATTATATCGTAAAATACATTTTTGTAAGCAGTGGCGTAACTATGTTGTTCGGGGCCCATGGTATATTCATCGATTGGGTCTCAGTTCCCAATGAAAATACTTCTAATGAAAACCCTCGAACGAGGCCTTCCAGCTGGGGCCCGTGACATTTTAAAGACTTGCCATCCTGTAGTTACGCCACTATTTGTAAATTAGGATATGTTTGAGGGGTGTTAAGAAGATACAAATCTGTATGCTACCTCTATTTTATATTTATTATGCATATGAGTCGTTAAAGCCTAGAAGGCACAAACAATACACTGACTTACTGTTTAGTGATATAGTCTGACTGACTGACAAGAGTTGAAACTATGGCAAAACGCGTAGACCGATTCGAACCACTCCGTGCTAAAATTAGAAATGTCTAGGTACATCTAAATGGTTAAAAAAAATGTTCAATTAAATGTTCTATATGCTACGAAACTCAAAAACCCGTTGTATTATCTTCAATTGTATACAGTCACTTCAGGTCCTTAACCTATTTAGAGTAGGTACTTACGACCTAATTTTTACTTCACGAACTTATTAATATTAAAATATATATAATAATATAGTAAATTATTCCGTGAGCTTCATCCCACTGATTGATTAGGTACCTAATCGGATAATGCGACACTCCTAACTTCGGCCAGTCGGTTCTAATCACATTATACGCTTAGACGGTCTAAGTTAATTGCTGGGAGTGTCCTAATGGCGACCTGAGGGCAATTGTTAACACTTGGCTTGAACTGTTTTATACCTTTGGTGATTAGGTAACTAAGACTATGTGAGACGCAACTAGTGAATTGGACATTTTCTTTTAACCGCTTGAACGCCAGTATATATGACACACAATAGAAAATACATTGTCTCGCGTGGATCCACGTTTATAGTACGAGAGATGACGACCAAAATTTTTGTCTCATAGCAATACGGCTAAAACCGCCTCAAATCGATAGGTACGATTATCCTGAACTCGAAAATACCAATATCAGACATTGTCCGCGTAGCGTTTGATCTGACCACAAAAACACCAGACAAAAAAAATATCTCGTAGCAATACGTCTGAAAACCTTTTTTATTAGTAAATTTTGGTTATTTGATGCGAACAAAATAATTTTCAGACGGAAATGTAAACGCATTAAATATTGAGACCGTTTTGAAAATGTTAACAAATTTTACTGATCGGTATCATGGCAATATGTCTGAAAATTGTTGGACATGATAAAATAAGTTGTCCACATGTGCAAAAAATTTATATCAGACAAAATAAGTGTAGCACCTTCTCTATCAGACAACTTTTCGATACTCAGATATTTTTGACACAGCAGAAATGGCCTCCCACGCAGTTGCTACACTTTCGACCGTTACTACACACCTAGTCGGGTTCAGAATCATACAATCTAACGATTATATAGGGTATTTGCCGTATTGCTATGAGACATGGTTTTGGTCATTATCTCTCGTACTATTAGTTACACGACGGGTTAAAGCTGGCTTTTTCTAACCTTAAGGTGGAGAAAGACACCTCACTCGGTCAAGACGAAGATCAGTTGTCACACTCTTCATAACATGAAAACCTAGGATTATCTACTACTGTTTAGTCTCCACCTTTTTATCATATTTCTTAGTTTTTTTCATCTTTCATACTACATTTTTGTTTCTATGTGTATGAGTCGTGGTGGTGGAGGTTTAATACGCCCGCTTTACATGCATGAGGATGTAGGTTCAAAACCTACCAACCAACAGCAAGTACCAATGTGACTTTTTCCGAGTTACATGTACTTTCTAAGATTATACACCACTGACTAACGGTGAAGGAAAACATCGTGATGAAACCTTGGCTTATAATTTCTAATTATGATATTGAAATTATTGAACAACCCGCATTGAGCAAGCGTGGCGATTAATGCTCAAAACTTCTCTGTGTGAGAAGAGGCAAAGGGTCAGCAGTAGCCACTTATAAGCTGTTGATGTTGATACATCTGTTTCCAGCAAATCTACCGTTAAGAAAAGCTGACGCATAAAAAAAATAACCTATCTCTTACGTAACACGAGAGAATGGGAAAACAATTCAGTTAACAAAAAGTAGTGATATTAAAAAACTCAATAACCTTATTCTAGAAATCCGATACAAAGTAAAAATTTCGATTCAAATTAATATCATTCCAATAGATTCTGTTCGAAGTGAAATAATTACTGTCTATCGATCAAAATATTACGATTTGGTCCTAAATAAATATTTGAGTTTGATTGCGATAGTCTCCAGGGAGAGTTCATTTAAACCGACAAAAGCTTCATTGATAAAAATAAACAAAGGCCGGTAACAATATTTAAAGACCTCGTGTTTTAGTGTTAAAGTCGTCGCACACCTAAGCACAGCTCCAACCCAGCAATTAACTTGTCATTTAAATAATATGAACTTTAAATCGGATGTCGTATGATATATTTCATATCGTCAATACAAAAAGCCGACGGCGGGTGGTCAGCGCGCGGTCCTTTCGAGTTGTGGTTTTGAGGCGCACGACGCGCGCTTCCCTCGTGCGGGCCGCGCGCTTACAGCGTGAGTTGTAAACGCACCGCCCTCAAGGTGGAGGAGGCAAATTTGAAACAACGCTGCGCCGGAGCTGTGCTTTTTAGATGTGGTACCTTTAAAGTATGAAACAGAAGTGTATCCACAATATTAGACTTTTTGCCTGCGGTTTCGGCCACGAGCATGGAATCTAGAAGAGTCCCAGTCCTGTGGGAATATTGGAATAAAAGTCATTTTTTTATGGCATAAGCCGGTAAACGAGCATACGGATCACCTGATGGTAAGCAATCGGCGTCGCCCATGAACACACGCAACACCAGAGGCGTTACAAGTGCGTTACCGCCCTTCTGGATTAGGAAATTGAGGATTGTTGGGGATTCAGGGATTGGGGAAAGGGAAGGGGAGGGTAATTGGGCCTCATTAATAAAAGTGAAACAATCAAGTTTTCTTTTTGATATAATTCATCAGGCATAAAAAATGGAATGAAGAGTTTTTAATACTTTAAATAATCTTCACTTCGAACCTGAAGCTTCATGTTCCACAATCGCATTAAGACAACCAACAAAGTCCCGCCAAATAAATACTTAATACAAGTACATTTCCTTCGTCGTTTTATCCCGTTTTATGAATTGAGGCACCATCAATTTGTTACTGTCTGGGAGCCTTGTTTGAGTTGACCGGGCCTTTGTAATGACAACCAAGATAAATATCTAACAGTTATTCTTCCTAAACAAATAAAGATGTCTAAGAATTGTAATAGAAAACTTTATATGGATACATTGAAAATGTTTCATAAGTAGTATAACGTACACATATACGACATTTTTTATTTTCCGTGCACAAAATATATTTCACAATCCACTTTCTACGTGACTGCCTTAAAATTGGGATCTTCCGCCCTGTTCCCTCAGAGGATCACTCACCAGATTTTAGGTGATCAAACCGCAATTGAATTGTATTCCCCAAACCATCTGCCAACCGTAGGATTCATGGTAGGATCACAAGCATATTTCGCCAGTTAATAAAAACCGGTAGGTCTTACAAAAACTCAGTATCGCCTAAAAAGTTATATAATATTATGAATGCCCATCATGAAACATTTAAAACCTCATAACTTCCTACAAAAGCAAGCTCCAATACTCCCAAATGCTACGAATTATAATTTACAATTACTCCTAAAGTACCGAGGTTCCAATTTTTGCTTACGCCTCCAAACACAGGGTTAAAGCCTTAACTTACAACGGAGATAAACCAGACATAATCCTGCCTTCGTGACATCTTTTACATACTAATTTTGTACGTAGATTTATCTTTAGGTACAAGGATGCTTTGCTTAAGTAATTGGTGAATAATTTACATATGGGTTATACAGGAGTAAAGGGAAGTAGTTATATTAAAGCTTAGTAGATTTTGAACAAGCTGTAATGTTGGGTGTGATTGTAATTTTGTTTATCAGTACTCATATTTGCAATAATCAAAGATACTGCCTCAATGGTATGGGTCACAAGATCGTATAGTACTTATCTAAGGAGTACTAACAAAGAGCGAGTCGGTGGCGCTGTGGGCTGGGTCGTTCCGTTCCCTACGAAATGGTTGATCGGACCGATTGCTGGCCTACACGTCATACCCGTGAACGAGTGCCTTCTGCTGGAACAGGTCGGCTCGCTCATCGTGCTGGTGGGCTGATTCAGTAGGGTTAGTCTAAGATAATAAGACTATAATAATTAGGTAACAACATAAAGTATTGTGTGTAGTATAGTGGTAGGCGTAGCATGTAAGATCTTTATATAAAAAAAAATATTTGACCATGGAAAGTATGTACTTGTAATATGACAAGGGCACGGACACGAGTCCGTGGAGAAATTCAATTTTTATTTATTAAAAAAAAACAAAGAGCGATCTAAGAAAGTAATAATTCATCAAACAACCATTTTTCAACAATATACTTTTAAATTAAGTCTGTGTTTATTAATAGACTCGACCTCCCGGCCTACCCACTGATATAGCCAGAAACAACTACCTTTAACTGACATTACGAATATTTTATTCCATATTCCAATTGGGATTAGCATTCCCCCTTGGGAAATAACAGGTGTATTGAGGTTATGTAACTCCTTAGACAGATACAAGATCACTGAGATCAATTTATTTGAATTGATCGCAACTACTTATCACGATGTCTAAGTTTGATTGTCTTATAGCATCTCATCACGGTTTGCACTAGAAAACTACACTTGTGTTATCGTGTTACGTGTACCTGATCATTACCATCAGATGCCAATCGTCAGCTGCTGAACAATACATTTTTTTATGTGATAAGTCGGTAAACGACCAAACGTATCACCTGATGCTAAGTCATCGGCGACACAAGAGGCGTCATAAGAGCGTTACCGGCCGTTTGGGTATTAGGAATTTGCGGATTGTCGGGGATTCAGGGATTGGAGAGGAGGGCGGGGATAATTGGGCCTCCGGTAACCTCTCTCATGCGACGAAACACAACGCAAGACACGTCGTTCTCGTTGTTTCACGTCGGTTTTCTGTGAGGCCATGGTATCACTCCGGTCAAACCGGCCCATTCGTACCAAAGCATGGGTCTCCCTTTACTTTACTTAAACATGGTGTCTCTTTACTGGGGGGAAATCATCGAATGAGTGTCAGCCTCTTACTGACTAAAAACCACCCCGTCCTACACTTCGAGCTGGAGCCCCGGTAACCCGTTAGATACTCCGCGACAAACAGATTAGGTATAGCAATGAGATAAACAAATAAAACATACTTCAGAATTAACAGCATTTCTAGATACCTTCGTTTCTTTTTTCGGTACTCAAAAGAGACCTCGAAAACTCAAATTCAACAATTTGTAAAACTCTTAACAACATTTTCTGTCTACGTAAAAGTTCTAAATTATCATTTTTTCGCCTACAAAAGTCGCTTAAAAAGTGTGTGGAAAGACATAAAATGTGGCTCGGCAAAATTTCGTGTAACTAGGTACAGGTTGTAACTAAAAGTGCTAACTTTTCATTTTTCTCTAATGAATACGTTATGAGACCTAGTTTAGTAAATAATGACGTCATATTTTGGTTCGGTTGAAAACACCCTATATACTTATCTATGTGTGAATGTTCATCGCTTACCACCAGGCGAGATAGTGGTCAAACGTCGGAATATCAAATATAAAAAACAATGTAGGTGATCATGTAGAAACTGATAATAACTCACTTGTTTCACTTGTTTCACACTATTACTGAAAAAACCGCTATTTTGAAAGAAATCTTTCGAAAAGTAGAAGTGGCACCCAGTTTACTCCAGATAAATTATTTTCATCTTAATTTTAAAAACACAATCCCCTAACCGAAGCTTCAACCCATAAACAGGCAATTAACAATCACAACTGAATTACCTGCTACCCTACGGGCAAACACTAAAATTATGTTCTGACATACAGCTTAGGGCTCGTACACAAAACTGCGATGCGATGCGATCCGAATTCGCAACGCAAAAAATTACGATGCGAATTGCTGCGATGCGATTTCGTGCGACAAGGCATCTCCCAGAGTGACCATTCCTTCGACGACTGTCAACCGTACTAAACGTATTTTAAATTGAAAGCTAGGTCGTTACATGGATCGTAAAAAGAAGTGTGCACTTCTGTTATTGCTTAGGAGATACAGGAAAAAGAAACAAAGAAGATTTTGGAAAGATAAGATTTTGATGCGCGATGCGAATCAATTCGCAAGTTCTTGCGATGCGTAGAGGGAGCTCGCACATTTTTGCGATGTGCCGTCGCATCTCAGTCTTATGTGCCTTTTGTTAGAACAATTATTTAAAATCAGGTCGCTTTTATAAACGAGAATATACTGAAATGCTGACAGAGAGTTTCCTAACCGCTACTGTGGTCTAATGTGGCAGGTTTCAATTTTATCGCATACACATGTATTTGTACCCACACCGACTAGAACTATATAAAACCAGTTTATCAAAGTCTCACTTTCTATGATCTTTTCACACGTTCGTCGGTCAATTTTATGCTGGTATAACGTAGCTTGATGTGTATCCATACTAAAGCCATGTATGTTGAAATTGAAACCATTTAACTGCAATAATATGACGTTGAAAGCTGTGGTCACATTAGTTCCTCGTGAATAAAGCTCTATAAATAATTTCAATGTATTTCAAAATGAAGATTTTAAAGTTTTTATTAGAAATGAAATTAAGGCAGTGTTTGCATCACTTCAGTAAAGATAACGTCACGTCTTTTATCCCCTTAGGAATAGGCAGAGGAGCACATTACGGCACTTATCTCATTGTACAATGTAAAATGTAACACCCACTTCTCAATATTTATGTTATGAGTCCCACGTAATAGGGAGTGAGCCTATTGCCATATATTGGGCACAATTCTGGGCCCCGTGCCACCGCTGACATTTTTTTTAAAAACCCAGTACCTACCCAGGAATCAATCCTGAGACCCCTCGCCCGGCAGTCGCACTTGCGACCACTCGGCCAACGAGGATGTCAAGTCAGTCAGTCAATAAAGATACGCGTTCTTTATGTTTGAAATATGCAATATGTCTTTCTGTGATGACCATGTAAATCGACAACATTCTTAATGTTACAAAGTTTTATTTTGGTTACAGATGCGCTGATTTTGATAAAAAAACACTTGATTAAGCTATGAATTATGATATCGATAAAAATTTACTTTTAAAATAGACTTTATTTTACCTAATTAAAAAACGTAGACATAGATTCCAACTCGCTCGCCTCGCCAAAGCTGCCAGCTACTTTAACGAAACTATCCAGCTGATAAAAAAGAAGTGTAACATAAAACGAAATTCTTTAACATTGTTGGAATCTTTTGAATTTCATACGCCCAGCGGGAGGGAGCTGACCGGCGTCGGCGATATCCTCACTGCTCCTGTTATATCGCAAAGTTCAATTGCTTTTATATTTTACTTAACTCGTTGAGTACCGTCATTATATAATAATAATAATAATAAATCATTTATTTAAAGTAACCAGGACTCACAAAATGTTAGTAAAACTTACATCTATGTTAGTATGTAATCATAATTCTTTTATAGTGCAATAAAAGTTTTATATTATTACATCCTACATTAATCCATGGGAAATGGCATTACATCGTCCCATGTATATGCAGTCCAGTCTGCTCGCAATCATGCTCAGGATACTGTTGGAGCTGGCCCGCACCCTGCTCACCAGGGAAGCACACCTTTTGCGCATTGTTGCATAGAAACAGTCTATATAGACACAATTATAGAACAATAGGTTGCGGTCACCGGTGACCGCTTGGTGGTTGACAGTTTAATTCAGAAAGTTTCACAATGTTTTGCATTGGAAAAAAGTTGCCTTTAGTAGCTACATGGGGTTATTATGTGTATCTATGTAGATATGAGGTTCTTCAAGAGGGGAGTGAATAGGTTTCTTACGGGTCGGCAAGACGCATGTAATGCCCCAAGTGTTGCAGGCGTACATAGGCCACGGTAACCGCTTACCATCAGGTAGGCCGTGTGCTTTTTTGCCACCATTGTGGTATAAAAAAAAATGTTCGAGATGCGAATATTTCCATAAAATTACAATATTTCACTTCCACGTGGACGGAATCAAGAACTCATATGATAAATCGACGTAGCAAGAAAACACTGATTAATTGATAATACAATTTGATTATAGTGTATCATCTTTGTTAACCCTTTCACGGTACAAAATGAACGTCAAAGTATAACGATCTTTGAATGACATAATACTCTAAACATCATATTAAAGTTCCTAACCACGATACAAAGCAGTTTCTACCCAGCAACAATATGAAGTTCGCCCTAAACAGTGACACGAAAATGGCCTGTCATCCTCAAAAGACGGTTCAGGAGACACTTTAATTATTTTTATCAGGCTTAAATATTGTTGTTATATAATCTTTAGATGGCGAAGACCTTCTTTATATTTCTTCTGTAAGTTAGGATGCTTGAGTCGGATCATACTATTGAAACAGTTTTGGCGTTAAGTATCCCACTTATCAGCATCTGAGTGCTCAAATAAAAGACCCAACTGTAAAACAATAACTATAAATAAATACTAAAAAGTCAATATTTAATAACAGAATAACGCGGCTTTAACTTAACTTCACTCGTTCTGCTCGGCGCCTATTAATCGTAGCGTGATATTTTATAGCTTATAGCCTTCCTCGATAAATGGGCATTCCAACACAGAAATAATTTTTCAAATCGGACCAGTAGTTTCGGAGATTAGCGCATTAGCGCGTTCAAACAAACAAACAAATAAACAAACTCTTCAGCTTTATAATATTAGTATAGTATAGATTTAAATAGTCAATCTTGATTGTTGTTAATTACAAAAGCAAAAAACATAATAACCACTTCATATAGTATCTGCCTCATTGGCCAAGTGGTCGCAAGTGCAACTGCTGTGCAAGGGGTCTCGGGGTTTGATTCCTGGGTCGGGCAAAGCATTACTGGGTTTTTTTTTAACTTCAGTAGTAGCATGGAATCTGGAAATGTGCCCGGTATATAGTAATAAGCTCACCTCCTATTACATGGTACTCGTAAGATAAATAGTGAAAAATGGGTGTTACATTGTACAGTGGCATTAAGTGCCGTAATGAGCACCTCTGCCTACTCCTTACGGGAAAAAGGTGTGCTATTAAACTATATATAGTTCTATAGTCATTCATACAAATTTTAATGTTGACATTCCATAATGGATTAGTGGCTTACAGCCTACAATGTGGTTCAAAATGAATTATTCAGAACTTGGAAGGACTACAAGCTAATAGCATATTCTCTTACGGCAGATTGTGTGCGGTATCGGCGGCTTAGTTCTGGGAGCCGTTGGATGGTTGGAGGAGAGGCAGAAACCAGCTCTGGGTCTCGGAGTCCCTGCTGGGGCGATCACAGTGCTGGCTGCAGGTAATGTAATATTGGAGATTTATAGTGATACCACGGCCTCACGTGAAACAACGCTTGCGTTGTTATGTTATGTTTTGTTACTTTGCCCGACTCGGGAATCGAACCCGAGACCCCTTACCCGGTAGTCGCAACCACTCGGCCAACGAGGCAGCCAAACTTTAATAAGCAAGTAAAAACCGGTTTTACTAAGTTACAGACGAAAACATTTGCAGCAAAATATATTAGTAGGGGAGCCCACGATGCTAAATTGGGATTTACTTGAGCGTCCTTGGGACCTACTGGATTTTGAAGATATGCTAACAGAAAGAAGAAATGGTTTAGTGACAATTTCTTCCACCAGTGGGGGAAGGGGGAATCTACAGATCTTTAAAATTGTTAAGCGTAACTTTAGTTCTAATGGTCGAGCGTGTCAGATATTGATAATGTACATGCTCCATGTGTATTTAATAATAAAAAAACTCTTAATCTGCCAATTTGCATGGTGGGGTTGAATGTTCTGGAGAGTACAAACGAGAACCCTTCAAAATCCCCCCACTCTTGCAAATCAAGTTGGAATGGGCAGATTTTTTAAACGCACTTCCTTTAGCACGGTATTGACCTACCTTCCCTTAATCTGACGAAACTGACTTTATTTAGTCAGACTTTTTTTTTAATTTTCAGTCCCCCCCTTCTAATCAGATCGAATATATGTTGGGTATATTCAACATGACACTAGGTTTTCCCCATATGTTAATCTGACGCGCTCGAGTAACTACCGAAATCCCTTCATGGGCTCCCCTACTATATGAACTAAGAAGTTTTTAATATTTAACTACATAGTTTGATTAATGTTATGTTATTGTTAGTTTTCGGTTCTGAAGTTCTTCCCAAATAGGTTTCTTAACAGTCAAAGAAATAACAAAGGGTTAGAAAGACGTTCTCAAAATATGATAATATTGACCTTTAAACCAAACAAGTTACAGTCTAAATTGAACCTACTATTATTTTATTATTACACATTATGCAGTATTTACATAAACAAGTACCTAGTTTGAAGTTAATTAAGTTCATATTAAAAGAGCAATTATAAGCAAATTACGATATTTTGTATTCAAAGTGTAACAGATGCAATTTATTATAAGTAATTAGCGAATCTCGGGGCGAACGTGAGACTGTGAGAGTGGGTGTGTTGTGAATTTCGCAGTCACACACTAACTTTAAGTGCTAAAGTTGAAATTAAATTTATTGTTATTTAAATTTAAATTTTCAGCATTCATTTTGTTAATGAGCAGCGTGTGGATTAAGGTCTCGTACACAAAACTGCGATGCGACGCCGCATAAATGTGCGAGCTCCCTCTACGCATCGCAAGAGCTAGCGAATTGATTCGCATCGCGCATCAAAATCTTATCTTCCTAATCTTTTTTGTTTTTTTTCCTGTATCTCCTAAGCAATAACAGAAGTGCACACTTTTTTTGCGATCCATGTCACGGCCTAGTTTTCAATTTAAAATACGTTTAATACGGTTGACGGTCGTTGAAGGGAATGGTCATCCTGGGAGACACCTTGTCGCACGAAATCAATGCAATTCGCATCGTAATTTTTTGTGTTGCAAATTCGCATCGCATCGTAGTTTTGTGTACAAGCCCTAAGCCAAGGATACACTAAGGGAAAAATGTCGTGCAACACTAGACAAATGTCGTGCAACACTAGACAAATGTCGTGCAACACTGGACAAATGTCGTGCATACGTGGATGAAGTACGTTGCAGGACATGTCGACCGAAGTCCGACACCGTCGTGCTAATTCACCCAACGTCTCTGGCAACACATGTTGCACGGCATTTATCCCATAGTACACTATATGTAAGGGTACACCCTTAGCTTCATTTGTGTAGGAATTTAGGCGATTTAGGTAATTTTATTTATTTACTGTCATAATTTTTGATAACTAGGCAACACCCGCTTTGCCTGTATAAATCAGACTGTGTTTTTTTCTGTACCCTCAACTATATTCTATAGGTACTCTAAATATACTGTGTGGTAAAAACTAGTGTTTTTAGCACACAATATATTTAGTAGAGTACTAAAAACATTAGTTTTTAGCACACAATATAGTTGAAGGTCGCGTTGATAAAACAGGAAGCAGTAGAGGAAATAAATATGACCCTTTAGCATGGCTTGAAACTAGTCGAGTACTTCGTCAAAAAGTTACGTGAATAAGCCGAAAACATATTGTAATTAATTTAGTATGTCACCCGAAAGTTTTAATATAGATAAAGAGATGTTTAACAAACTAATAAACTTGAATGAAATACCTTTTACGTTTACCTACTCTTTTACGTTTTTTTAACTACGTTCAACCCCATCTAAACCGAATATCAAGTTTGTTCATTTAACATTGAATAAAAACCACTATCACACACAATTAATTACATTAAGTGAGTTTCTTCTTCAGCGTGATGAGTGGGTACAATGTGTAAACGGCGACACATCAAGCGATAGTGAACCAGTATAAACTGATCTTTGAATCTGCGAAAAAATTATACAAAGCGAGATTATGATAAACTGGTTTTGTGTAGCTGGATATTTCGCCATGTATTAAAGATCTAATACTTTTTGTTCTTTTGTTAAGTCCCACATTGTTCTGAGATCATTTATACTGAGGCTGTTCATTAGTATCCTTTATTATACAGGGTGGCCGGGGAGTTGACGTTCAAGCCTATTTATGTAGCTACTTTATGATGAGGAGTATCCAAATCACCCCATATATGTTCTACGATTTAGCGTAGTTTTCGAGTTAAAAATTATTTTATGATTTCTTTCGTAATTTTCACCTAACTTCAATTTTGGATTTTTTTTTTCATTCTGTTGGACGTTTCTGGTTCAGTTTTATTTGTGATAACTGACTGACTAACATAGTCTAACCTAGCACCCTAAAACGTACATAAAGTATCTAAATTTTACGCTTGCTATTGGGGGTAAAATACCACTTGGTTTCAAAAATCATAATTGCCCTACAAACCCTATGTATCTGTCTACTTAGAAAGATATAAAAGCTAACCTGATTACCCATATATATCATGTCTATTGATGGTTTCATTGGTTCCGTGTTATAGAGGATTTTTGTCTAATAATGAGTAGTTATATTTCTAGTGGCCATCGAACATATTTAACCGAAAAAATAAAAAGTTATTTATATTTACAAAATATTATCGAACCTCACGAACGAACGGTCGCATTGCAAGGCCCTACTTGAACTTTAATCATATTTTTAATGTAACTTTTTCTCGTTGATTTATAATTTAATAGAATCCCGTCTTATTAGCCAAAAACATCACTAACAATAATAACATTACAGCGACCTCAATATACTACAGTCGAGGGTTCGGTGGATGGGTGTCAGCCAGGTCCAGATCGACCAGGAACTGGGGAGCTCCGTGGAGAGCGCTTGGACCTTCGCCGTGTGCTGCAGTTCCACTCACAATGCTCTGGACAGCTGCCATAGGAGCCCATATAGCTATGCTGGCTTTCTGTATCAGATCACTGATGAATATTGGGTAAGATTTCTTTTTATATTTATTTATTTATTTAAATCAACACATCCTAACAGATTACACCCAATGCGATAATCTTGTCACTTAATATAAAAACTTAAAATCAACATTGTTATAACACAGCCATATATATTAATTGCACTTATCCATCAACTACATAGTATGTACAACTAACAACATCAGTCGTTACCTTTATGAACTCCGCCAATGAGCAACAGAAAATATCAACCTTTTGTCCAATGCTGTTAATTATTTTAATAGCTCAAGCCACAGGAGCATATCGACCTATGTTAGTACGGCCCACATTTATGAGACCCATTTAGAGAGAGGTTTAAGACGCCTGCTTCTCATGCATGAGTGTGCGGATTCAATATCTACCAATAGCAAGTACCAATGTGACTTTTTACGAGTTAAACGTACTTTCTAAGATCATCTAGACCCCACTGACAAACGGTGAAAGAAAACAACGAGAGGAAACCTGAAATCGCCAGCCCACATTGAGCAAGCGTGGTGATTTATGCTCAAACCTTCTCCGTGCGAGAAGAGGCCTTTGGTTAGCAGTGGCCACTTATAGGCTGCTTACTTATAGAATCTTTGAAGGTGAAGTAAGATTTTCCGAAAAAAAATCACAAAAGAGTAGATACTTTTACTTTTAACGACCTTTTTGGCCCATTTTTTGGTTACCAGGAAACTTTATATCAATAACTAAGTGATTCTAAAAATTAACTCTAAAGGTCTTCGTAACCAGGAAAATAAAATAAATTGCTTTAAACCTGATTTTAGGGTTCACTGTACTAACAATGAATTTTCATGTTATATTTTGGGATGAAACAAAAACATGGCAACATATACCTATGTTATTATTTGCCGGCTAAGGGGCACCCACCGATGATAGAGACCGAAAGTAGCGCTCTCTGATAAACTAAATTCTTGTAACAAGTGAAACAAGTGAATTTATTTCTGCAAATAGGCTACAAGGCAGCACTTTTACACGTCAATTTTATCAAGCGAACGATGAGGTCGACATTTCCTAACTGACTACTCTGAGAAGAAATGCCGAAACAAACTCAGTACATTGCGATCTCCAACCCAACCACCAAGTATGGAGATTGGAGGAGAGATACTGTCAAGTGTGGAGACTAGCAAACCTTCTTCTGTAGACGATGATGCTGTTGATGATGTAACACTATTTGTAATAAGCTTCTATCCCATTTTACTGTACTGTGTCCAAAGCAATAAACCCATCAAAAAGCAAACATGATTTCATGCACCGCTACTTACATAAAAGTAATTTGCCAGCCACGGCATTTCAGTGACCCCGGCATGAATTTTAATAACGAAAACGTTTCAATAAAAATACCGGGAACAAACATGTTTATGCTTTTTTGGTTAAAATTTAAATTAAGTTTTTAGCATGAAGCTTTGTATGAACTTCAATGTTTATATAACGTCGCTTTGTGGTAATTATTCTTTAGAAGCAGTGGACAAAAGCGTACTTGAATATTGCAAATGGTATCCTTTTGTTGTAAATTGCTTTAAAACTTAACCTGTTGAAAATTGTTGAAAATCATCCCCTAAATTTGTTCATACAAAAATAGTCTCTAAACATTGGAAATAAGGTCTATAATGTAGTTAGTGGAGAGCGGTCACCGGTGACCACTTTGGGATATACGGGTAAGAGTTGTTTTTATTAAGGAAAAAAATGTCTAATAACTCCTCCCGCCCGGGTAAAGCGAAAGGAGATGTCAGACTCGTATTGACTAAAAACCAACTCCTGCTCCGAGCCAGGTGGGATTGATTCCCAATCAAGCAAAGTTGTTGTGAGATTCACAACAAGTTAAAGTTGTGTTAATAACGTCCCTGTAATAATGTGTCTGTCGTAAATAGGTTTGTTATCATTACTACGGAATTAAGGTCATAATTAACTAAAAATCGCGGGTTACTCACGTGAATATCAATAGCAGCCAGTAGGCTACGCGACATCGCCGCAACCGCGCACGCTGCTCTTGAGGATGAACCCCTCTGTGGTTCGAAACTAGTAGAGCTTTTCTCGATATATTCATGTGAGTAACCCGCGATTTTTAGTTAATTTAATATGTCTCACGATAATTATTATAAAAGGTCATAATTGTCTAAAAATGATTGTAAAAGTAGTGACATATAAGAGAGTTAGAATCAGTTTTATAAGTAGTATGTTACCTCTGTGCCATTAAAAAACTATTTATGTTCTAGAAAATTCTAAACTAAGCTTCTTTACAGATGCGGAAGCACAACATGTATTGGCGTGGCCAGTGCTCAGCTCACACTCTCCATCACAACCCTCGGTGCTGCAGTCTTTATGCTGCAACTGGATCTACGATTCGACGCCTCCTTGTCACCTCCACCGCGGCAGTCTGATACACATATATGTACTGCTGTTTCTATGGTACGTGATAGGTGCAACAAAATAACATTGTATATTAAATGACGTCATCAATTTTTATTCTTAAAGGTGTAGACAAATACTTCTATTTCTTGCAGTGAGGGACTATCTGTAAAGGTCTAATTTGTGCTGGTCAAATGAGAATCACACACTTTTAGGGCGATTTTTTCCAAAGCCCGATAAATTTTAACTGAGGAATAACAGTGAGCTTCCATCCTAAAAACTGTCAAATGTCAATTTTATTCTACAGTTAAGAATTATCTGATGACTAAAAAATCGACCCTGAATCGGTTATGTTACAAATAAAATGCAATCTTATTGATGCCTCATAGTATATCTATAAAAAAAATCGCAACTTTAACAAAATCAAAAATTAAACTGTCAAACACCAAGCGGTCACCGGTGACCGCAACCTGTTGTTCTATAATGACGGTACTCGACGAGTTAATTCAGTAGTCATGTGATAAGTACAAAAATCCTATGTGTTTAGGGATGAGACAATGGTGATGATATAACTTTTTATAGCCTAGACTGTATATTAAGAAGTTTGATTGTAATAAACCGAAGTTTAATTCGATTGTTAGACAAACAGAATAATAAAAATAAATAATCGTTTAATCAGAGTCCTCAGCTGAAAATAATACTCATTTTAAGGGCCATTTTTTCTGACTCACAGTCTCGATCTGAACCGCTAATGAGAATTATAAATTCCATCATAATAGTAATTTCCATCTTTAAAATGTATCTAGTATTATTATTAATAATAGGCAGACATAATTAATAGACATCTCATTATTAATTTATTTATAATTTGGACAACAGTAGGTAGTTGTTACATTAGATCTTACATCTAAGCACTTACATAATGAGTCGCGGAGAACCTAACGGGTAACCGGGGCTCCGGCTCGACGTGCAGGAGAAGGAACGGGGTGGTTTTTAGTCAGTAAGAGTCTGACACTACCTCCCGCCTCACCCAGGCGGGAGCAGTCGTTCGATGATTTTCCTTAAAAAAAAAGCACTAACATAATAATTGATTGATGAACGATTTCCCTCACGACTTCCAGAGTTGTAGTGACAGGTCGTGTAACTTAGCTGAACATAAAGCCGTGCTGGATAAGTTGTATGAACGGATTGTGGAGGTTTTGTGTGCGGCGGCTGCTCGGTCGAAAGTGACGCGACATGGAGTAAAGAGAAGTGGTAAACGTGTGTGTGGGTGGAATGATTATGTAAAGGACGCCCACAGAGATGCTAGACGTAGTTTTCAGGCTTGGGTGAGCAGAAATCGTCCCACTTCGGGTTCTGTCTATGATGAAATGTATGAGAAGCGTAAAATATTTAAAAGTAAATTAAAATATTGCCAAAATAATGCTGAGCAAATCGTTATGGATAGAATAGCTGAACAACGAGCTAAAAACAATTTTAGTGAATTTTGGAAGGCCACTGGTAGGTTGGATGCGAGGCCGGGACTAGCTGCTAGCGTCGGAGGATTGAGTGACTCTCTAGGAATTGCTAATTTATTCAAGGATCACTTTAAAGTGCAGTCCTCACTCGGTTCTTCAAAGTTAATAAATGATGAAACATCCAGTAAAAGGGATGAACCTCTTATGCATTTTACATCTAAGCAGGTGCGTGCTGTTATCAGTGGTATGAGTCGAGGTAAATCGCCTGGGCACGATGGGCTGAGCATTGAGCACTTAAAATATGGAGGCGTCCATCTGCCGAGAGTTCTGTCTATGTTCTTCTCATTGTGTATCAGTCACGCGTACTTGCCTCCGGGCCTAATGCGGACTATTGTGGTTCCTATTGTGAAGAGCAAGACAGGTGACATTGCGGATAAAAATAATTACCGACCCATTTCGCTGGCGACTGTTATGGCAAAGGTATTGGATGGCTTGCTTGATTCTTGTTTGGATGACTACATACATCTTCATGACGCGCAATTCGGATTTAGACCTGGACTTTCGACTGAGGCTGCTATTCTGAGTCTCAAGCATGTGGTTCAGTATTATGTTGGCCGTGGGACACCGGTGTATACTTGTTTTTTGGATCTCTCGCGAGCGTTCGATCTTGTGTCGTATGACGTATTGTGGGGGAAGATGAGAAGCAGGGGTATACCCGCAGAGGTGTGTGGGTTATTTAGATACTGGTATAGGAATCAGGCCAATCATGTGAGATGGAATGGCACCCTCTCGGAACCTTACAGGTTAGAATGTGGCGTAAGACAGGGAGGCCTAACGTCACCCAAGCTTTTTAATTTATATATGGATGACCTCATAGTCTCACTCAGCAGAGCCCGTGCTGGATGTAGCGTTGGTGGGGTGAGTTTTAATAATATAAGTTATGCAGACGACATGGTTCTTTTGGGTCCATCGGCGGGAGCAATCACTCAGTTGCTTCAGATATGTGAGGAGTACGCTGCCGCACACGGCCTAAGTTACAATGTTAAGAAATGTGAGTACATGGTTTTTGGGGTTGGCGGCAAGTGTCGTGACATGGAGTTTGAAATAGCGCTGAATAAAATCCCAATAAAGCGAGTTAGCAGCTTTAAATATCTGGGACATTTTCTTGCTGACAACCTTAAAGATGACATGGATATTGAGAGGGAACGTAGGTCTCTGGCGGTAAGGTGTAATATGCTGGCACGTAGATTTTACCGCTGTACCGAACAAGTTAAAATTACACTATTTAAGGCGTATTGCCAAAATATGTACACGGGTGGTCTATGGGTCAACCATACCAAAAAATCGCTAGATGTCCTGCGCGTCCAGTACAATAACGCTTTCAGGATGTTGTTGAGATTGCCCCCCTATTGCAGTGCTTCGGAGATGTTCGCGAAAGCTCGTACTGACGGATTTCACGCAATACTGCGGAAAAAAACAGCGTCACTATTAAGAAGGTTGAGAGATAGTCAAAACAGCATCCTGAGAACCGTAGCTGAGAGTATACACTCTCCAATAATTAAAAGATGTGTACAAAGGGTGATTGGTACTAACAATAGTTTGTAAGTTTTCTATGTAATACTAACATTCGATGGACTTTGTCTGAAATAAATGCCTTATTATTATTATTATTATAATAATAATTTTAAATGCATTACATTTTAAGGTGTCACAACATGCACAGTGACGTAACAATGACACTTTTATCAGAAAGTAAAGACAATAATAGAAATAGGAATATAGCAAATAGAGTTATAAAATAATCTACTAAATAAATACAATATAACATAATTAAATAGAGTGACAATATCAATATTACAAAAGACACATCGTCTAAAACATTGCTATCTTTAACATGTAGGTACTCGGTAGGATAGAAAAGTAATAAATATTTATAAACACCGACACTTCTTTCACCCAGTTACGTGGCTCTTTTACGATATTTCCACGAAAAAGTACTCACAGTATCTTTTACCCGGCTAATTTATCAAAGTCGATGGGTAAACAAAATGAGCTAAAGTGACACTCTCCTCCTTTAACGAAGTCAGCTAAAATGTATTTTTTATACAAATTTTCAAAGCAACTGAGAAATCAGGAAGGAAACTTATTATAATATAATATAACCTGACTGGCCTGCCTTCTGGTCAAGTGTAAACAGTACTCGTAGATATAAATTGTAGGAAAATAATAGAAAGTTGCTGCTGAGTGCCTCATTGGCCGAGTGGTCGCAAGTGCGACCGGGCAAGGGGTCTCGAGTTCGATTCCCGGGTCAGACAACGCATTGCTGGGTTTTTTAAGAAAAACAGTAGTAGCACGGAGTCTGGAAATGTGCCCGGTATATGGCAATAGGCTCACCCCCTATTACATGGGACTCATAACATAAATAGTGAAAAGTGGGTGTTACATTGTACAGTGGCATTAACATTTTATCATCTTTTCGGTGATAAAATGCGTAATAATGTTATAGAAATACTAGTAAGACTTATACCTACAACTGTATATCTCGAATCACCCAATTGTGCTGTGTGTGATGTTGTAGAGGACGTGTAACACATTGTGTATAAGTGTCAACGTATTGAGTCTCAGAAGTATCAGGTCTTTAATTTTAAGAGCTTTAATATTGGTTTTTATCAGTGTTTTAGCGTCACCATTGTCATCTGAGGCTAGAAAATTGTATCGTTTAATTATTTTATGTTTAAGCTTAAAGGCTAGTTTAACCTATAAACGGGTTTTTTCAAGGGAGAAAAATCACCGAATGACTTCTCCCGCCTGGGTGAAACGGGAGGGAGTGTCAGACTCTTCCTGACTCTAAAAACCACCCCGTTCCGATTCCCGCACTTCGAGCCGGAGCCTCGGTAACCCGTTAGGTTCTCCGCGACTCCGTATAGGCATCAGCCCTATTGGGCCCCATGCATGATGGTATGATGGCTCTTTGCGCGCGCGGAACGCGACGTGCCGGATTGTGAGGAGGCAGCGCTTCACTGCCTTACGCGCCCCGCCTCCTCCTTAGCTAGCATGACTGCTTCGCAAAAAGAGGAGACGGCAACCCAGTCCCCCCCGCTCCGCAAAATTACCCGCATTAGGCCCGGACTCGAGAGGTCGCCATCACCGATCACGTCCCTGAGGACACGGTGGTGCTCAGCCTACGCAGGATATTCCGCTACTGTGTGTTCCACCGTGTCCTGAAGGCAGTCCTCGCAGTGATGACACGAACCTATAAACGGTTTAGCTGCTTTATTTTAGTGTGTGCTATCTTGTAGGTAATAGGGCTGACGTTTTCCTCTTAGGAAAAAAACCTTTATTAAATGAAGATTAAAAAAAACACATTTTATATCAGAAAAATGAAGGTTTCTACTTTATATCGTTTCTTTCTTTCAACTTTTTAGGAATAAGAGAATAATAAACATTGTCATATTACAATCATTTATTACATAACTTCATTATCAAATTACGTTATACGATTCGCGGTTTTATGGAAACTTAATTAATTAATTCTACTTAAGTTAAAAGTTATCAGTACTTGTTAATTAAGTATCGAAACTTCGTCCGCGAATTCTTCAAAAGTACCAGGCTCTCATAAAACGCAGACGGTACATATTCGCGCCTCAAGTTATAGTCTTTACTCTATATAAGTGCTCGTACACAAAACTGCGATGCGATGCGATGCGATGTGAACTTGCAACGCAAAAAATTACTGTGCGAATTGCTGCGATGCGATTTCGTGCGACAAGGCGTCTCCCGGGGTGACCATTCCTTCTACGACCGTCAACCGTACTAAACGTATTTTTAATTGAAAACTAGGTCGTGACATAGATCGTAAAAAGAAGTGTGCACTTCTGTTATTGCTAAGGAGATATAGGAAAAAGAAACAAAGAAGATTTTGGGAAGATAAGATTTTGATGCCCGATGCGAATCAATTCGCCAGTTCTTGCGATGCGTAGGAGTTTACACATTATTACGATGCTACGTCGCTTCGCAATCTTGTGTACGAGCCCTAAAACCGCGCCGTGCGATATCGTGGAGTAAAATATATTACCTATGTGCGACGCAGACATAGTAACACATCAAGCTGTTACAACCAGTATAAACTAACCTTCAAATGTTTGAATAAATCATACAAAGCCGGTCCAAGATAAATTGGTTTTGTATAGCTCGTGTAGTCATGTATACGTATCGCCGTGAAACTCAAACAAAGCTATGCAAATCACAAAGTAAAGGAACCAAGATTGAATATTTGCATGACTTTTACATTGAAATGAAGGAGTTCAAGGGTTAGTTATCAAGAGGTACTAAGTTCGATAAAATTAGGTATGAATAGTTTATTGTATTTCGCTTTTATTAAGATGACTAGGTTAAAAAACGAAATCAATTTTAGAGTTATATCAAACGAATATGAAAGACGTTTTCGATGCCTTTGGGTAAAACAAACCTCTAAAGACTAGGATTTTCCTAGTCTTTAGAGGTTTAGAGGTCTAATGACATTAAAAAATTCAAATTCAGGGCCTTTAGCCAAATGCCACTTTAGCACTTGTCTCTGTAGACAAGTGCTAAAGTGGCATGGCAAGAGAGTAGAAATCAAAATGTATGGGGATGACACTGACAAGTGTCAAAATTTACGTCAATTCCATATAATTTGGTTTTCTATTCTACATGTAGACAAGCGGTAAATGGCACTTGGCTACATCTGCAAAATCCCTATTTGACACTTCAATACATAACCAACGGAACAATCAATCTCCAGTTACAAAAAAAACAAACTTAACTTCTGGTTTACAAAACAGTGAAATGCAAAACCTAAATATACCCAAAGGACCAAATATTATAGACGACTAAATAAAAACCATACCGAGCGAAGTAAAGGAACTTTTTAATACATATTTCGTACACGGTACAAACGACAAACACATCAAGTTGTACCTAACCAGAGTATCATGGTCTCCTTATGTACGATATTTCAGCACATTCTAAGGTCTGGTTGGTCTGGTTTTCACGTCTACAAGAGCAGACAACAATACTCTGGAGTATATTACATTCGTATTCACAACACCAGTTTTATTACACGAAATTCATATATGAATGTATGTACTTGAAAGTTCCCCAGGGAGATAGATAAACAGAAAATATTATGAGAAGAAGTTGCTCTGGAAATATTATACTAATCATTGTTCATTATTGTTTCTAACTAAGACGAAGTAGAAGCTTTGTTTTTCAAATCCCACGGTTACTTTATTGTAATGTAGGTATAGCTTACGAGCCCGGGTATTTGCTGTCGAGTTCATCATAAAATGACAAAAAGAAACATACATAACGTAGGCTGATGCGCACATTACGGCACTTAATGCCATTACAATATAACAGCAACTTTTCACTATTTATTTATTTATTTATCTATTTATGCACAACACACAGACAGTACACAGGAGAACATATATAAATATATTGGAGGTACATAGGTACTACATATCCCGAATGAAAATACATATGATAGATACACATCAAATAATACACATATTAGAGTATATTACAAATAAACATATTATACATGTATATATATATATATATATATGACACTAATTTGAACAAGATGAGGAAAGGTAGTGCTCCCTTACGAGTCTTTTAAAGATTGGGATGGATTTAGAATCACGGATATTAGGTGGTAGGGAATTCCAAAGTTTATGTTATGAGTCCCATGTAATAGGTATTAGAAACGATATAATTTTATTTCAAAACTAAAATCCAGTAATTTTTATAATAACTATGCTCATGAGGAAGAGTTTATTATTATGTTTTCGGCTAAACTCACGCGGGTCGCGAAATGCTGCTCATGAATATGAGCCTCTGGCATGGCTTGAAAACACTTAGGGCCGATATATCAATCATCAGTTAATTCTTAAGTGTAGAATAAAATTAACTGCCTCATTGGCCTAGTGGTCGCAAGTGCGACTGCCGGGCAAGGGGTCTCGGGTTCGATTCCCGGGTCGGGCAAAGTATTACTGGGTTTTTCAAAAATTCCCAGTAGTAGCATGGAGTCTCGAATTGTGCCCGGTATATGGCAATAGGCTCACCCCCTATTACATGGGACTCATAACATAAATAGTGAAAAGTCGGTGTTACATTGTACAGTGGCATAATGTACACCTCTGCTTACCCCTTCGGGGATAAAAGGCGTGATGTTATGTATGTACCTATGTATGTAGAATAAAATTAACATTTGACAGTTTTTAGTATGGAAGAATTGATAAATACTCAAAGTTATTCCTCTGTTAAAATCTATCTGGCATTGGAAAAATCGACCGTAATACGAATAAAACTGTATCCAATTAATTTCTCAAGGGACCAAATCAGCGTACTAATTCACTAATTCTAGAAAAAATTACCATCTAATTAATTTGCAGGTACCCCTGACGTCAGTGGCAATTAATAGCGGGAACAGTGATGCGGCGGACTCAGGTGGAAGTCCTCTGGGCAAGGAGAAGGAGCCCCCACCTCTTGACCCTCCCACCTGATGCAGTGAGGCCGCGTGAATGAGTGGACTAATGTTCTAAGTGACACTTTATAAGACTTTCCTTTCATAGGTGTATAATAATTGTAAGTCTGCAAGCTTTGAGGACTGTTTCTAGTGACTATTGTGTTTATTTTGTATCGTCATGTTTGTAAAAGGAAAAATTTTCTTTTACGTGTAAAATTTTACGTGTATATTTAACACACAATAAGGATTGACCTACTTAAGTGCCATACATATACATATGCAGCTACTCCTAATTATGTTAAGTGAAGCTTGTACAAATCTTTACGTTCTTGCTCCTATTGTATGTACCTAATCGGAACATAGTCGTTTGAATAATAAATAGTCGATGGAAAGTAATTGTTCTGATTGAAAAATTCTCGATACATTTTCAATTCAACGTTTTAGAAGAGTTTCTCTCAGTCGGACGGAAGTTTTTAATTAGATTTACCCTTTTTCTTTCTTTCGGCGATAACTTTGTTGTGCGTAGTCCAAAACTTGGCATTTTTTCATGGAAAGCATTTTTACAATTCCATTTTGTTGTTTATTTAGCAAATAATACAAAGGAATCTTCAGATTTTTTTTGTAAAAGCTTTAACTCTTTAATTTGGAAACATTTTTGGTATCCTGTTTTAATCAACACCTTTTTTGTAAAAGTTAAACTTCTATTCTCGGCAAATACCTTACCCATTCACCCTCCTTACATTCTGTACTGATAAGTAATAATCCTCTATTTATACTTGGCAAATTGCCACACGAAAATTGATTCATGGTTAAATTTGTAAATTGGAAATATCCACCCTGGATATATTACATCGAATCCTTGTGTTTAAAATCAACATTGTTAATTGAACCTTTCATCAGTTCAGTCAACATTTTGGCTTCTACTTTAGATATTGTGTTCCCAAAATTCGATGGAAGATATTTATAACCTATAACGAGAATAGTAGAAGGCAGATTTATATTCACTTTTGGGTCATGAACGAATGTCTTATTTTTAGTATCTACAAATCTGTCGTTTATGCTACAGTTCTTTTATGTGCTTGGTCTTTTATGTAGTAGACTTTATCTGTGATAGATATTAACACTTCGTTGTAGTCATTCAAATTATGTTTAACACGAGTAACATTATTCCTTGCTTACGTATCATCTTTTTTGTTGTTATTATGAACATCTGTAACTTTATCTTCATTATTAACTATTAACCTTACTCTCCTCTTATAGATAGCCATTTACGCACTTTCATACCTGGTATATTTATATTCTACAACCAATAAATAAAATTGTTCTGTCTCCTTGTAAACTGAATTTCACCTCTGCCGAGCCCTCTATGACTATGACCTCCCTGTTGTTCGTATGTTAGTTTTATATTTATGCGAATCATTGTCCAAGTACTGATATCAAGGGAATTCATAGTTTTATGATACACTCGAGTTTCATTTACTGTTCATTCAATAGCTTCACCTTCTCAATGTTAATTTCAATTAGGTAAGTGCTAAGGGCTTTGTGTAGTTTTTATTGCGCAAATAATTTAACCAGTATGTCAGAGGTGTGGTTCACTTCTATTTTAATTAAATGCAATTCTCTAGCTACCGTCCCGTTGACTTAAGTAAATTGTAGATGTTCGTGGCGGCCATTTTGTTTTAAACTGTCAAACACCAAGCGGTCACCGGTGACCGCAACCTATTGTTCTATAATTGTGTCTACAAAACCGGTACTCGACGAGTTAAATGTCCTTTGTATATTGCAATGTCTGTGCTATTAGAATAGTTTAATTTATTGTTAGAATTGGTTTGATTACTATTAAGTTCACGTTTTGTTAGTAAAAATATTATTGTCATCAGTTTTAATGTGTATTCATATATAAGAGTCCCGTCGTGACTTGAAATTAGTAGAGCTTTCTCGATACACGTGAGTAATCTGTTATTTTCAATATGTTGTTGTGTTGATTTATCATAGTAATTTGTCGCGGAGAACCTAACGGGTAACCGGGGCTCCGACTCGACGTGCAGGAGAAGGAACGGGGTGGTTTTTAGTCAGTAAGAGTCTGACACTCCCTCCCGTCTCACCCAGACGGGAGCAGTCATTCGATGATTTTCCCCCCTTAAAAAAAAAATCATAGTAATTTTGTAAGAATATACACCTCCATTTCTAAACACAGTATTATTTTAATGTTACGTGTATATCACGAAACCTTATCATATTTTTGAGCTAGTCAATTTTGTTGACAAACCTGTACATGCCAACATGTTATAAAGCGTTCCAGTTTCAACATACATTAAAAGCAACTTGAACAAAAACAAAAGGGTGTCATGTCTCCAACGTTCCTACTGACACTAACAAGACAGCTTGTAAGAAGTTCAAGTAAAAATGACACTTAAAGTGCTTGAAATAAGTTTGTAAATTCAAATTTTACGCCATTATACATTGTGCTTTGTTGTGATCCTATGTTTCGAAGTTAAAATGGAGAAGCGATTTCTCACATTTAAACCACAGTTTTAAATAAAAAAATATTGTTATAAAATATTGTATGAGGCAATAGAATTCCGAATGTTATAAAGATAGAAACTAAAGGGATAGTTCCTATCTTTTAGAAACTATAGGGATAGTTTCTATCTTTTGTAAAAATAAATCGGTCTAGGTAGGGACCTAGACCGATTTTTTACGACAGTTCAGTCTTATAATACACAATATCTTGTTACAAATTTTATCATAACTGTGATAGCAGTTCAAGAACTTGCTGTGACAAACTTCTACAAGAATAATTTATTTTTTATTTATTTAACACTTCATGTATAACTGTATACAATGGCGGACTTAATGCCGAATGGCATTCTCTACCAGCCAACCATAGGGTGATGCAGAGAAGTGTTACAGTAGGTTTTAAAAGAAGTTTGCATCTGTTGAAAAAAAAAAAAAACGAGGGTGATAAATGTACGTACATATAAAGGTATCCTAGTACATAAACTACATACCATACTTATAATATTGCTTATTTATAAGTTTAAAATACATTGTGCCACTTAAAATTTTGTACATTATTGTAACTAGATACGTATATTAAATTAAATTATTTGTGTAAATAATATAATCAAAACCTTAGCTATAACGTCGGTGTCTTCAAGGCCCGAGTGAATAGGTTGCTTATGGGACGACGCGCTCCAACGTAGACCGCATCAACGCTTACCACCGGGCGAGATAGTGGTCAAACGTCGCCCCATCAAATATATAAAAACAAAAAAGCTTCAAGCGACCTATATTATGTATGTAAGTGACTTATGTACTTATTTTTTAAATTGTATTTTTTTTTATTTAAGTTTGACGTATTACTACGCTGTAAGTGTATACTGTAAATATTCTTTGATAAATACAGTTATAAATAAAACAATTTACAAATTAGTTTTGTGTGTAATTATTTTACTGTGACTGGCTCATTGGTGGAGTGGCCAACCTGAACTTCTTAAACTACGATCTCTAATCGCTACCCAATCGTAGAGATTGCGACAGACCTTCTCATGTAGAGAAGGCTCAGAAGTTTACTAATACACCGTCACAGACTGTTAAGTATACAGGTACGGCAGGTAATGTAAAAATAATACATTCTGCAAACGAAAATATGAACCTAATAAGTTAATACCAAGCAAAAGGTAATTATGAACGTTTTCACCTGTAGGTACCCTAATCCTATTTAAAACTTGTGACGTGGCATCGCACCTCAGTAAATTGCTATTAAAAGGTCGACCTGACATTAAAATGTAGGTGGAATGTAAAACTGCCTTTGTATGACACATTATGAAGATATATTTATGGAACATAGTAGATAACATTACAAAACATCTTGTCTTTTGTTTCTCTAAAGAAGGGGCAGGCAGAGGTGAAGATAATAGTCGCAATTGGGATGATGACAGGGTATGAAAATTAAAAATCTAATTCCTTCATAAGTTTGGTAATGAAAAAATATTAGACACGTATTTTTTTTATTTTGTCGTATAATAAAACAATACTTGGATAAAACGAATCAAAATTTAGGAGTGGGGGCTAAAACGTCATTTTTACGTATAAAATGTACATAAAAGTGACGTCACGCGACATTTCAAATCAATATATCGTCGAAAGTATTCGTTTCTGTACGAAAAAATAAAAATAACCTAATGATTGAAATTAATGAACCTAAAGGTCTAATGATTAAAAATAATCTACCAGACGGACATTAAAATAAAAATTAGACATCTACCCTGTTGGAGCCAATCGTGCCATCATACATCGCATAATTTCAAACTCCGTTTAGTTGGGTAAGGTGTAGGAGAGCCATGCTTCGGATCGAATGGGCCAGCTGGACCGAAGTGATATCAAATGACCTCACAGAAAACTGACGTAAAACAAGTTTTGCACTGTGTTTCGTCGTGTGTTACCGGAGGCCCAATTATCCCCCCTTCCTCCATCCAATGAATCCCCAATAATCCTCTAATCCTTAGGGATTCGAGGAATATTTGCCTTTGGGGATTAGTCCCCAAAGGCCCAGTAACGCACTTGTAACGCCTTTGGTGTTCCAGGTGTCCGGCGACGCCGATTACTGACCATCGGGCGATCCGTCTGCTAGGATGACCGGCTTATCCCATAAAAAAATACTGAGAATGTATCTACTATACAATCTACCATGGTATCAAATTTTTAAACACTTTCACGGCAGTGCTAAAATACCTTTCGACTAAGAAAGCGTTAGAAGAGACTTAAATAAATAAAGTAGAGTACTTAAAATATTAAAATTATACATATCTAAGTACATACATGTTTTTGCTTATTCTCTCTAAGTCAAAGGCACAAAATGAATATGTATTTCTTTCTACATACTGAAGGTTCACATCGCTTTGTACCTAACGCAAATTCGAATTAATTATTTATTTATAGACATAAGTATTCCTCAAAGGGACTAGGCTAGAAACACGCAATGTTATTAGTACTATCTATATGCTCTTATACATAACATAACATAACATAACATTATGCCTTTTATCCCCGAAGGGGTAGGCAGAGGTGCACACAGAAGACCGCCTCGATGGTCGAGTGGTCGGGTCGGGTAAA